ATCACAATTTAGTTGATAGCCCAAACTCCTGAGAGGCTAACAAGTGCTCAAGAATCTGGTACCCACAGAGACTTTCCTTGTAAACAGCCCAGCAATAAACTTATGATTCTGCCAACCCTAATAACTTTTATTAGTGAAGAGCAATATCTGGATTTCTACAAAAGCAAGCTCCTCTTCTTTAATTCTTCACAATTCATTTTAAAAACCCACGACAGGCATGACTGCACTGAAGAAAACAAACTGGGTGGCTGTAAATAACAGCAAGAGTAAAAAGGATAAAACTGATTAATATTTTTGCCATGGATCATTTATACAGATCCATGTGAATGCTCCCCTTTTTGTCTGAAAGACTTCTGTTTTTCAACTGGAATAATTCCTGCTCTATTGCTCAATGCAGAGATGTATTGTCCTGCTTAACCCCATACCCCAAATCCCTAGACATAATTTTGGTTTAGAGGATGTGGAAATCTTTCAATCTTCAGCCAAAAATGCCTTTGATAACAAATCAAACAGACATTTATAAAAGGAAAAGACTGATTATTGAAGAAGTCTTACTGCAATTTTCTATCATCATCGTAATGATGGGGTCTTATTGTGGTATGCCTGCTGAAAGAGTCATGCTAAGATTCTTGAAATAACATGTAACTTTTTTTTTTATTATTATATACAGAAGATGAATAAAAGCAACGGATAAGGGGAAAGCAAAGAAACACATGTTTACTGGTATTGTAGGTATGAGAAGTACAGATCTCTTCACATCAGCTGCTTACACTCTGGGTTTATGTGCTTTTTCATCTCTTCTACCAAATTCAGAGGGACAGAAATGAAGTCTTTATTCCAATATTTAAGGGAATCCCTGACTTAGGGGAACAATACTGCAGAAAGAGCAAGGATATTTTCCATAAACATTTGAGATAAAGCAATTCAGTAAAGCTTCCCTATCCCCAACTCTCCCAAACAAGATCATCCCACAAGTGACAGCAAGATGAATAAGCTTACTGTTGTTTATATTGATGACTGTGTACTGACAGGTGTCAAACTTAGAAAAACAACATACATTATTTTGTTTGTGTGATAAAAAATTCTCACTGTATAGGCAGATAGGCAGCATAAAGTAAATGGATGTAGGTGTTCCAGTAGGACATAAAACTTGCAAACGTGAACTGAAATTAGAATAACTATGAATCTCTGGAAAAAAATCCAGTCACCGAGATTAATATAATAACATAATATCCAAGTAAATCAAGATGTGGCTATAAATTCTGCAAACAGTTTAAACGTACACCATTCCTCAAGTCACCACCCTAATTTATGCATCCTGACTTCAACTTGAACCACAATTCTTTACAATTGCCCGTAGTGACAGGACTAGGGGCAATGGTTTTAAATTGAAAGAGTGGATTTAGATTAGGTATCAGAAAGAAATTCTTGACTCAGAGGATGGTGAGTGAGGCAATAGAGCAGGTTGCCCAGAGAGGTTGTAGCTGTCCCATCCCTGGAAGTGTTCAAGGCCAGGTTGGATGTGGGCTTTGGGCAGCCTGGAGATGTCCATGCCCACAGCAGGGCATGGACTAGACAATATTTAAGGGTTCCTTACAACCCAAACCATTCTGTAATTTATGTTCTCACATGTATTTCCAACTAACTTCAGTTAAATAAAAGTCCACATCTATCTATGTTCCCAAAACAATAGAAGAGCAAGATGATTATTTTAAGGTTGCCATATGATCTACAAATGAGTTCAGCTGGTGGTAAAACCAGAACGGCAGTACCTTAACCTTAAAATCCCTAATTAAGTAGAGAAAAGGATAAAGTCATCATGAGAAAAAAGTGTCTAAACATTGAGTTCACGCCAAAATGAGAAAGCCACAATTATATACATAATTAAAGAAAAAGTTAACTGAAAGTTCGTTTTTCAAAGTAATTCATATCATAATGGTGATGCCCTAGACTTCAGTGGTTTTTTTTGTTGTTGTTGTTTTGTTTTGTTTGTTTGTTTTTGGTTGGTTGGGGTTTTTTTTTGTTTGTTTGTTTCTGCCATAGAAAAGAAAGGTAAGCTTACCCAGGGAACAAAGTTTATGAAGGAATAGTTTCTAGAAAAGTCATCTACTGAGTTAACAAGAGAAGAAGGGAGCATAAATTCCATTTTCACTAGTTAGATATCTTTTAATGATCGTGTTTCATGACGTACATACTCTCATGCTAGCCAAATTTTGAGCTCACCTATTGTAAAAGTCATTTCATGTGCCATTTCTTAATCTTTTCTTTTTTCTTTCCCTGAAACATCTACCTCTTCTTCAAAGCATTCATTGTTACCTGACCTAAAGTTGTTCACTTCTCCAAGCTGAGGAATAAGCGATCAAAAGATAAATGAATCCATGAATAGCTGAGTCTCAGCTGGGCAACAAAGAAGACAGAGATGTTGCCCTGGGTAGAAAAATCAATATGTTCTGAACAACTCCTTAGGAGGCTGAAATAAAAAGGCTAGAAAAATATCAGCAACAAAACAGCTAAGAAAACACTACAACAGCATACACAACATATGAACAGAAGGTTTTGTAGGGCTACTCAAGCAGCCCTGAAATTGCACCAAAGCCTCCTTTCCCCCTTCATGCCAAGTGAAAGGTTTGCATTTAGAAAGCATCCCAGATGACTGTGTTTTAATATGGCACTAAAAATTAAAGTGTAGCCCCCATAACCCCCCTCACACACCAAACCACTTCTCTCCAGCCCCCAAACTCCTATAGCTATTGACCCGTGAGTTCCCAGCATCCACAGATCCAAATCTGTCTATCCACAGGATACTGAAGATAAGGATAACATCTGGACTTCGTTCAGATTCTTGAGGCTTAACATACCCAAAGATCCAGCCATTCAGCACCCTAATGAGACAGGCAGTACATGACTCATGAGATGGCTGGCCACATGCTGTCACAAAGAACTTTGAATTGGGACAATTAAAAAAAAAGCATCTGAAGAACTATGTGAAATCTCTCCGTACCATTGTTTTGACTAAAGAAGGAAAACAGTTTACATGTACGACAACAGCAGCACTTGGGTTTCAAATGAACACAGGGGAAAAAATGTTTTCATGCATTTTCAGTTAAAATAGAAACATTAATTGAAATATTAAAAGATAAGGGTATATTAACAGATATTAAGATAACATTTGTCTAGGGAAACTGTAAAGAAAGGATTAAAGGAATACATTTTTGCTGTAGAGGTACTAAAATTACATTTGTCTAGCACATTATTGTCTTGGTATTTATAACTAATGTATCCACTTTGTTGTAATTGAATATTTAATTACCTTGTTCACGTAAACGAAGAGATAAATGCAAGCTTGATGGTTGTATTTCCCAAGTTTATAGCCCAATTTTATTATTATTGTAATTCCAGGCCAGGGAGTATACGCTACAAGTTTCAGTACAAGCTTTTAGCTCATTAGCACTTATTTTGTAGGAAGGACTTTAAACAATGCAGTATCTTTGCTTACAGCAATTAAGAAAAATATAACACAACTCCTCTTCTATTTGGAAGCTGGTCTCTATTGAGATTATTCATGTAGGTGACAGAGAGAGACAGAGATACCAAATGAAATGTCCCAAACCAAAGCACATTTCAGTATTTCAGTCCTAGATTACACATAGGCTGCTTTACTAGTAATTCTGGGTGTGTTTAATACTTTGAGTTTTCATATAGTTTAAATCATTAACAGTGTAGATACACATGGTTCTCCAAAGTGGATGGTCAGAACCACGAGCAAGCCAGAGATCTAATGACAAGGTTTTGTAACCACATTCAGCACAAGGAAAAAGGCACTGGATAGAAAGAATAAGCACACAACAGGGAAATGCTTCAGATATAATTGCTTTCACGTGTTTAGAGAGGTTATTCATGCGTAGAAGTCATTTCTTGTTATTACTGGAGATTTTTCAATCTTTTGAATTTTTCAGTCTTTACTGGAAGCTGTACTTTCAGCAGCATACCAAGACATGGTTTGAACAAGTTGCAGTCAAAAACACTACCCCCCCCCCCCCCCTTTGCACATACACCCACACTCACACATGCGGTTTGGGGAACCAACAGCCTTCTGACTGCATCTTCTCTCCTGTCTCCACATTCCCTAGCTTTTATATCTCCTCCTTGCACATCCATGTTTTTCCAAAACATTTCACCGGATTTACTTAGCTTGTTAACAAGTCAACAGATGGGCAACGAGCAAAAGAAATTGTGCAGAAACTAGCATTTAACAGGGTCAAAAGACACCATTGAGGCAATTAGTGTCACATACAGAGTCTGAAAAAAAAAAAAAAGCAGTCATGGCACCAGTTCCCAATAAGCTATGGCACTTAACATGAATTGCAGCATCTCAAAATTCCAATGTTATCTAGTGACAGCTATGTAAGAAATAAACCATTAGGTGGAAGTTGCAGAAAGTAAAGCTGAGTTCACTGACTTCAGCTGTAGAAATATTATGTTCTTCTCTCAATTTGGAATAATCTTCAAGGGGAAAGATTAGTTTAAGGGAACTCAATTGGTTTTACACGTTCAAATCAAAATAAAAAACAAGACTGTAAAGCTCCTGAATACTATTATGTTTAGTTTTCTTTTAAAAAAAATAAAAATAAAAAATATTGAAATCTACAAATGCATTTTGAGAAGTGAGAGAGCAGTAGAAGCAGCCATAAAGAACTGCAACAGCAGGTTAAAAATATATTCAGGGATATTTTTTTTCCTTAAGTCTCAACATTTAAAGGAATATAAACACAGAAATAATTATATTAGGATACTTGAAATACACTGTACGTGCACAAGTCACTAGACTGGAAGTAAGACTTACGAAGGCTCCATATCCCACTGCTCATAGCAATATATTGCATTACAGGTAATGAGCTCCTAATATTACAACATTTGATGGCAGAGACCATTGCCACTGCCGTGCAGCACCACCTAATGAGAGACGCCAGGTACAACAAAGGACCAGAGACTGTGCTTACATGGAGTCCCTCTCTTTGGCAGGAGATGAAAGAAATTGCCTCTGGCAAAGAAATTAAATAATTGTAGACAGAGGAGGAAGGATGGATACAGAGGAAATTGAAGTCCAAGAGAGCTGCAGAAGGATGTTGTTCATCTGAAAAGACGACAGGAGCAGAACTGGAAGAGGCAGAGTATTGGTCTGGGAAAAGGAAGAAAGAAATTAAAAGTTCAGTAAATTTTGCTGACTAATTTTTCTCTCTGATTATGTTTTTGAGGAGCTCTAAAATAAGAATGCTGCCCTTGTAAAGGACTCAAGGATAAAGAAATATCTAGTGAACATGCAGCAAGTTACTGAAGTACTTTTATGATACTGTGAGAACATAGAAATGAACATGCTCTCATACCTGGTCAAGCAGCTCTCAGCTTTTCAAGGGATCCTGTTCCAGCTATGCTGTGTTCAAGACCACCCCATCATCTCATAGGAGATTTGGTCCCAGCCTGCACAATAGCCTACGCTATTCACCCATTATTGCCCATGTTATCTTCCCCTACCCCAGATGCCATCCCTTTGCAATTTGAAATGCATTTGCCTTCAAAAAGTAAGAAGTCATTACTAAGAGAAATCAGGGATCAAGCTTCAGTCGACCATAAGAATCAGGACTTCACTCTTAAAGATGACACATTTTTTTATTTTTTTTTAAAAAAGGTCCCTTTTTATGCATGACACTGCCCTTTCCTATCAAAAAGCTTCAGTCCAGTCAGCATTTGAGCATCTCAAACAATTACACTACTAGCAAACTGCAGTTCTGCAGGGGTCCCTTCTGCCTGGTATTTCCCTTTTCAACACCACAGAAATGTCTGCAACTGTCAGAATTGTAGGTGGCCCAGCACCTCTCCTCTGAGGAGAGGCTGAGGAAGCTGGGTGGCCCCAAAAGGAAGTGGCAAGTGGCAATTACTGCTGTGGCCACTGCAGGGGAACAGCCTGCCCATCTTTCCTCTTAGCCTTTGCCACTCCCCACTCAACCTTTCTTTCAGGCTGAGAACTGACAGAACCAAAAGTGTTAGTCAGCCACCTCCAGCGTGACACTTCCTTCAGCCATTTTATTGCTTCACCACACATGAAGCTTTTTTTTTTTCTTAAAGGAACCAAACTGGTTTGACAGAGTGCTTCCCTCCTCACCAGGGTGTGTTTAAAGGAACCAAAGATAAGTCTGACCGTCACAGCAACTACACATGGTTGCTATGTGCACTGCCCAGAGGTAGGATTTAATAGCTAGTCAAAAGCAGCCAACCTCACCCCCTTGTTTCAGAATACAATTTTAATTTGCTTATATTATGATCTCCTTGCAGAAATCTTGGAATCATTTCGGTTGGAAAAGACCTGTAAGATCATCTAGCCAGACTTTATGCTAAGGTCTCCTTGCAAACAATTTAATGCCCTTCAAGGGTGAGGCTGATATTTTCTAGGGTTTCCACTTGACCCCATTAAATATTTAAAGTGGGGATCCTCAATATCACTGAAATTAAACCAAATATTTTTGATATTATTCGAAAATTCTGTGTTGCTGAAAAATATATTCTTCTCGAGGGACTATCGACAAATAGGATATATCAGGCACATAAATTTTTGTGTGCGGACCTACACTCATATGTAGATGAAAGAGGGGTTCCAACCTTTGGTGTGCTGGTTCATGTATACTCACATAATCTCTTCCAATTATACAGCCACAGCAATTAGAAAAAATAAAACCCCCACAAGATGTGCACACACACAAAAAAACACCAACATGCATGCAGGCAAATCATATTAGAAAATCTAATGTCCAGAGTGATAAACTCTTGGAAGACTACTTGGTTCCATGAATTTGTAGCATTAAGCTTGGGTATTTTAACCACAGAAAAGACATAGCTTTTGGATTATAAACAGATGCATGCACTTGGGGCATTTTTCACCAATAACTTAACTTCCTTTTGTCTTTAAAGTAATAACACGTTAAATGAAGAAATATTATCAATAATCCATGCAGTTTCTCAAAGTTGAAGAATATCTTTTTCACGAATGACAGATTTTCTTCTGCTCTAGGCAAGATGCCTCAAGCATTTCATCTTTGAACCCCAATGGTTTCCTATGATCTGATGCCTTCCAGAGCACACAGATTTCAAGAATGTCTGAAGTTCTGCCTAGCAACAGAGACAAAGCACAGACTGCCACAATTTAAACACTTTCCTCTATATATACTTCATGAAGTTATACCAATTTCTGGTGCTCGATCTGGTAATTAATTAACATTTCTAAATGAAATTTCCAACATTTTGTTCGCAGTTCAGTAAAGCAGCTGAAGACACTTCTCCTACCATAACAAAAACAAAACTGGGAAATGTTTTTAACATTATGTCACTGCTTTATCAAAGCAGAATGATGTTTTTGCTTTTTTCGTTTGAAACTCCAGACAGAAAGGAATGGTACTTTGTATCATTGATGTTATTTCCTGTGCAAGATTTAATTTTGTTTGGGGGCATCACAAAATAATGCACTTTATTGGACACACATCCTCTTAAATATTTTCAGCCTGAACAAAAGGTTGGATTCAGCTTTGGCTTGAAGCATCCAGACACTACTTGCACAATATGCATAGACTAAAACAGGAATTATCCCATTGAATTAAACTAGTTGTCCATCCTGCCCAGCATCCTGCAGTGACCTGCACCAGGTATGCAAGCATGTTCCCGGGGTGGGGAGGGATGATACCAGTACTTCCATATTTAGAGTACAGAAGTTCTGGCCTTCTCTATAATTAAGTGGTAAAAGACATGGATTAGGAGAGCAACAAATCTCTTTACAAACAGTTCTCTTGCATCAGAAATCATTGCAGTATGGGAAAATATCCACAAGTTTTCCAACCCATCCTACTTCTGCATATAGCAAAGAAAGTAAGCAAGTAAGCCTCAAAAAATAATAATATTAAAAAAAAAAAAAAGTGGTATAGAGTAGGGTAGGAGAACTTGTGTCCAGGGAAGGCTGGAAATAGCTGGAATATTAGAAAGACATTGCATGGATCTGATTTTTTTTTTATTTTATTTTTTTAAACTATGGCATGTAACCATGAATATGTCACAAAAACCTCACATATTTTAGGCTGGCCAACATTCTCCGAGACTGGTATGTCAATTTGAGGGCCTGCATTTTTTGGGGTATAAATTCACACAGAATCCGGGTGTAGCTTGAAAACTGATCTCATGTATCTTCTGACATATTCTGACCTCTGCTGTCGTAAAGTGGAATTTATTTTGACAATCACTTTTTCTTTAAAATACTGCCTTCAGCTGAACAAGAGATTTTCAGTACCTGCAATTATCCAGAATAAAGAAATGATGGGAAAGCTACTTTTATTTTACACTCTGAAGCACAAAAATCAAGTGCCCAAGCTTGTCTTTTCCCCTCATATTTCTATTATCCTGTCAACTATTATAAATTATGCATTTGATTATTGCATAAATGCACATAGGCTATTATTTTAGCATCTGACTTGACACATGCTACTAAGCTATCCTAGCAACTTTTCTCTGGGAACACATTGGTTCAGGCTTGTGCACTACGGCACTGTATTTTTACCAGCATTATGACAGATACTAGCAAAGTCACCTAGCACACCAATACACAGACTCTACTGCTAACACAAGCCTATGCAAACAAATGGTTTTAGGTGTATATATTTTTTTTTTTTTTTTTTTTCAGTCTTAATCTCATTTTCACTACAAAACTGTTCTAAAATAGACCAGCAAGTTTTTTTTTTTTTTTCTTCTTTTGTACAAGTCTAGGAAGTTTATGGTGAATTTTGACAGCACTGTTTGGAAATAAACTATGTTCCTAATACCCCATACACTAACATCACTGAACACAAATCTGGATGAAAGGCATCCATCATGATGTGCTACTTTTAACCTGCTCTTTTCATCACGGTTAAGACTCCTTCCAGACCTTAGCCTGGAATATTAGTCTTTAATATTAATACATATACAGTATTCATCACAGATGCTCAAAGAATATTTGTTCTTCCTCTCCCATAACACCTGACACTTCAAAATCAAGCCACATGATCTCTATCAGACTTCCTGATCTCCCTCAGCTCTAAGATGATCAAGGTCAGATTATAAATACTTGATCAAATAAGTACAAACCTCAGACTGTATCTCCCATTAGGTAACATTTTTGACTAAGGAACAGAAAAGACACTGGCACAATGCCCAGTGCCACCAGTTTTACTAGTGAATGCACTTTTTAGTCCATGTTTAACTAGGAAAGAGATACTAATCTCAAATCAACAAGTTCACCCTGATGGCAAGAACCTACCTACGCACACCATTCCAATAGTCACCCCCACATGGTTTTATGGTTTCTTTCGCCTTTAGTTGCAGCCACCATCTGCTGGAAACTACAACAGCAAGTGCCTCAAAAATGTTACTGCAGCTTCAGTAACAAATGCCTGGTTATTACTGTCAGCAATGGGTTGTATCAAATACCACAGATGTCCTGTATATTTTAACTTTACAATTAATATTCTAAAAATGTGGAACAACTTTAAATAAGGCATGTCAAGACATCTCAGTTTCCCACTCGAGGATTTTTACTAATAAAGACAACAGGTTTTCACGATTTAAGACAAAAGCCTGAATTCTGCTGTCAGTGTATAAAGACAGCAGTGTATAAATTGAACACTGCCCTGCAATTCAGCTCAAAACATCATTTACTCTTCTAAAGGCTGTTACAGAATCTGTTAAGTGTTCAATCAAAACAATAAGATGCTCTGGTTAGTTTAGTTTTGTGTACCAGAGTATTCCAGCAAAACTGTGATGAGAAAATGAATCATACCACTGTTTATTTTAGGCTATTAAGTGAGATGTCTTTAAGAAATAAAAATTAACAAAAATGAAAGAAGTGAACAAGAATCCCATAATTAATGTAATGAAGAGTCCAGAAAAAAAAAGACAAAAATGTGAAATAATTTCTGTAGCCATGCTTGAAGAAAAAAGAAGGAAAGAATCGGTCAGGTATGTGAAGCTGAATAAATAATTCATGACAAGATGGCTGTGATGTTCAGTTAAAGAGCTACCTGTCAGATTCTTCAGAGGAGCATAGAATTGGGAAAACAACAACAGAGTGTAAGAAAAGC